ATCGCACTTAAATCAACTATACGGTAAACAAGCAATCTGGCGTTATAACAAAAAAGAGAATGAATAAGTAAGTCCAGTGATGATGGATACCAATGGTAAAATAGTACCAAAGGCAGTTTATTATGTAACCTAACTTGAAACCTTCACATGTTATAACGTTTACATGTTTAACTTTGTACGTAAATAGTTAAATAGGTAAATGTTGCCAATTTTTTTTCCGTGCATACATCGGCACAGAGTTAAATAAACAGTCAGCCCTTTTAGAAGAGTCTATCTCATACTATTCTAAATTGATCAAATTAATGAACTGATCAGAGAATTCTTCAGAGAAAAAAAAGTTACTGTAACGAATATCTTTTGTAAACTTAACATTATTTCAAAGGTAATGGAGGCTGTTTACTTCCACAAAGGCTGTTTACGACTATTACTTAGTTACTTCGTTTTGTTCATGTAGCATTTAAAGGGAAAGTTCTCATATTATTCTGACTAACTAGAGCTGCTTCATTTCCAAACAAACTGAAATCATTGCAAATTTCGTTTCATTTTCGGTGCAGAAATTTGTACCACTCAATAACCACAAAAACAAAACAAAAAAGCAAAAAGGTTTAAATAAATTACAGAACTAAGTAGCTCCAAAACAAAGAACAATTTTACAAAGTCTGCTTCAGATTTGTTTGACTACTATCCAGTAACATTTGTAACAAATATTTTCTTTACTGCTTAAAAGAAAAATGCCAGATTTAAAATTAATCATTCACAAAAAGCTTACAAATTAAATCATTATATCTTACTTGGTGACGGTTTACCAAGGTAACAGTTTGGTAAATTAAAATACTATTTCACCCTGGACAAAACACGCACTACACTGTATTGCTGTGCTTAAAATCATAACAGCAACCATTATGTCATATATTTATTTTCATTTAACGAACACTTGACCACTTTCCCAATTTCTTTCCAGTGGTGCTCGTCTTGACTTGCTCAGTTGCTGGTTCATCTTGAGCTCCAACATCTTCAACCTTGGAGTATTGCACGCTGTCATATTTCCTCATGTTAAGCAGTTCCGTGTATGTCTGAAAGGAGTAGTAATACGAAATTAGTATTACAAAGAGTTTAAAACAGTAACTATTAACCCAGAATAACCAGGATGGGAAATAGTGATTAAAAAGGTCTCTGGATAGGGTGCGGCATGTTTGCAGTAGGTAAATTCTTGCCTTCAAATATGATAGACAGACAGAGAGGCAGACAATCGAACTTTTAGCTTTTTCGATTTGTTTTTTTTAGTTAGAGAATACAGCTGCGTAATTCTATAATTATAATCGTCATGGTCTTCAAACAAGTCCATGGAATTCTGTTAACCTCGATTATTAATTGTCGCATCACTACAAACCTCCTCACGAAGGTATGTATCCATTCTCTTTCGTAGGTTTTCAAAAGGAGGACGGAATTCAGGGTTTAAATTCCAGCACCTTGTCATTACATCATACCTAAAAATATACACGTTAAAATTTGTAAACATTACAAGTCTTATTTGATACATGTTTTAATAAATTAATTTTCAAGCAGCATTTGCCACGTCAAAAGAAAATCAGCTTTGAGTTATTTCTTCCACATAACAGTATAATCAAAACCAGTCAGATTCTCAGATATCACAGAAAAGTTCTCATTACGCATTTAACATTTGCAACGCACTTTAATGTAACTTACGGTAAAAGTTGTAAAAAAAATGTAAACGTTGTAAATAAACTTACAACTGGTCGTCAATGTGGTCAGGTTTTGGCATTTGATATCCATCCAGGACTGCTTGAACCACTCTGCCTTCTGACCATCCTGGGTATGGAATTCCTCCTGTTAAGGAATACAGGTGTGTTGTAACTTTGTTACAAGTTGGTTTAAAGAAAAAAACCTCTTTCGCATTAGATCAATCTATCCATCAATGTAATAATGATAATAACTATAATAATGATGATTGAACGATAAAAAATTGCGATAAAACATTTCGTAAAAGCATATTAAAAGTTTATTGACGACGTTTCGACGTTTCGCTAACGTCATTATCAAGTCAAAGAGTAAATGATAAAAAATGTTTAAATACTAAAAATACAATAGGTTATGGAATGTTCTCAGTTTAGACAAAGAGTTTTGCACGATTGAAATCAGTCTGCGTGTTGAGACAAGGATTGCGCTCCTTGATGCAAAGCATCTCATAGACAAGACAATCAAATTTCCCTTAGCACTTTTTTAGAATGCAGAATTGGCTTTCTTTGAACAGGCTTGTATCAAGCCCAGAGAAGTCAAGCCTCCAATCGTAAATCAACAATACGTTGTTTACTCTTTTACATGTGATCTGTGTGATTCAGATAATGTCGGCTTTACAGCTCGAAATCTCCACCAACGTATTGTTGAACATAAAAACTCGGCGATCAGTAAACACTTTTCCATGGGGATATAAGCCCCCTCAAAGAAAGCAAATTCCGCATTCTAAGAAAGTGCCAAGGAAAATTTGATCGTCTTGTCTACGAGATGCTTTTCACCAAGGAGCGCAATCCTAGTCCCAACACGCAGACTGGTTCCATTTGTGCAAAGCACTCTATTTAAAAGACATTTCATCACCTATTGTATTTTTAGTATTCAAACATTTTTTGTCATTTACTCTGACTTGATAATGACGTTAGGAAAACGTTCAAACGTCGTCAATAAACTTTTAATATGCTTTTACGAAATATTTTGTCGCAATTTTTTATCGTTAGATGTTTTAAAAAACACTTCTCTTTAATAATGATGATAATGATAATAATAAGTAATAGTAATTGGACCGCGTCGAGCACAATTCAGGGAGTAATCGCTCGAACAATTTTAAAATCAGACGAGCGTGAAGCGCGAAGCTGATTTGAAATTACGAGCACGATTACTCCCTGAATTGTACTACACGAGGTCCAATTACTATTTGATCGTATCTATAACAAATTTCGGAGTTAAAAATGTCTCATGAGAACTTCTTTTGAGCGAAAACGTCTGTAGCGCTTTTCATAAGTTTTGAAAACTGTCGGAAACATTGCAAAGGAAGCCATTAAAGCGCACATAATTGACGTGCGAAATACGTGGGTATCCAATTACAGAAAGTTTAAATTGGACACCCGTAATTGGACACCCATGTGATCGCGCGCTGATTACGCGTCAAATAGGCGTACAGAGAACAATCATGATTGAGAATTTTGTTATAGATACGATTATAATATTAATTTTTTATTTTAGTCTTTAGCTTTTTATAAATGAAGATAAGTTATTATATACTTTAACGTTAAGCTAGGCATGAACGACAGATTAGTTCCTTTTTCACTTTTACCGAATCTCAGTACAGACCCTCTTCTCGCAATCAAACGAACAAAAACTGAATTTTCGGAGGAACAGTCTTCTCCTTTGTTATCTATCGTTAGTGCATCAAGGTGCTTAGGAAATCTCGAGGGTTTTAATGCAGCACAAGAAAGAAACAAAGTCTAACGAAGTAAAGCGACCTTTTTTCAAAGGAAAAATGAAAAATACTACTACTACTAATAATAATAATCATATCTATAACAAAATTCTCGATTGTGATTGGTTCTCCGCGCGCCTATTTGTCATGTAATCAGCGTGCGATGACGTGGGTGTCCAATTACAGGTATCCAATTTGTACTTTTTGTAATTGGATACCTGTAATTGGACACCCATGTTATTCGTAGGTCAATTACGCGCGCTTTAATGGCTTCCTTTGCACTGTTTTCTACAGTTTTCAAGGCTTATGAAAAGCGCTACAGAGGTTTTCGCTCAAACGAAGTTCTCAAAAGACATTTTTTTCTCCCGAAATTTTTTATAGATACGATTAATTAGTAATTGGACCTTGTTTCGAACAATTCAGGGAGTAATCGTGCTCGTAATTTCAAATTGGCTTTGAGCTTCACGCTCGTCTGATTTTCAAATTACTCACGCGATTACTCCCTTAATAATACTGCCACCATAAATATTCGCTTCTGATTGGTTGGAGGCGGACCAATCTATCCCAAATTGCATCGATAGCTGAACAATGAAATTTTAATTGTATCGGTCCCATTTGAGCAATGGAGTCGGACAAAACTTCACGTTTTCCGTCTCAGAGAAACAAAAAGCTTCTTGTGAAGAAGCAGCGGTAGGTAAAAACACCAAAAATACGATTTCATGCGAGTTTTGTCGGTAAAAAAACGCTTTCACCGTTTCGACGCGCACTTGCTTTCCCGTAGGTCATTTATCAAAAAGTCGCTCACGCGTTCAGGGTTTTGACAGCTCGCAAGCCAATAAAATTCAACTTCATAATGCAAACTTGGGACATGCTCGTCTTTGTGGCTCTTTTGCGAAAGAAATTATTTTACGGACAACTTCGGCGAAAAGTGTTGAGAAAACAAAATTGCAAAACTATAATATTTAATCAAAGCGTGGCTTCATTTTAGCAACCCTCTATAACGAAAAGACGCATTTACGGTTGCCGTATTATTAAAAGGAAATCGATCTTTGTCCTCGAAACAATAAGGGAAAATTGTACTTGTGAACACATCGGACTTTTGTCTAATTTCCACTCGTGGCTGCGGCAGCCACTTGTGGAAATTACTAAAAAGTCCGATTTGTTCACGCGTACAATAAATCCCTTATTGTTTCTCGAACAAATCGATTTCCTATACGAATTGTACTCCACTCGGTCCAATTACTATTACTAACAGTAATAATAATAATAATAATAATAATAATA